CGGTGCCTCGGCATGGCCGGGTTATAAAGTGGAAGCTGAGTTTGAGTGGTTATTGCAGCTCGTCTCCCACCTGAGCGGGTTTGTGTTTTGGTTTTCGTTTCTCCAAATGCACGTTCATGGTGTGTGTGAGACTCCCTAGAGCCATGAGTCTGGTCTGCGTTGGGCTTGGGAGGTGTATGGCAAGGCCAGTGGTTAGACCTGCTCTCAGATGAACTTGGCTCAAAGATCTGCTTGGACTAACAAGCAAACAAGAGTGAGTGAAGTACTCGTGAGCAGGAGTTGAGAGAACTTTCTAAGTCTTCCCACTGTAAGTGCTCGTGACTTTAAATTGGCTCTTGGAGTGCTGGCACATACCTCTGAATTACAGGGATGCTTTCAGGAGTGTAAGAGGGTGCACAGGATCGTAGTGAACTTCTCAATCAGTGTTTACATTTTTATAGCAGTGTAATTCCCAAGTGCTTGTTGAAATGCCTGAGGGGCTGTTGTATCTCCTGTTAATCCTTTATCTGTTTTAAAGACAGTTTTAGAAAAATAATGTGTTTCAGCAATAGAAATCAACTTCATTTTGCACTGATTTGAATGTATATTTAATTGATACATAATCCATGCCACCTGGTAGTTCTGTAGTGAAAAGTTTCCTACCACAGTTGGTAAGATGCCTGGACTAAAGGAGGCAGGGAAGGGTGTTTGGCTCTGGAGATGTGCTTGGGAGCTGCAATAAATGATGTGACCTCTTAGCAGGATCACAGATTGGCTCCAGAATCCCTCTGGGCCTTGTGAATGCTGTCCTGAAAGAGCTGTGGTAAGCCAGAGCATTGGTCTTCATATAGTGGTGCTGGTGGCAGAGCTGGAGGCAGCATAATGTGCTAGAGGCTCAAGAACAGGCTAAAACCAGTGAATATAGCTGTGACTGGCAGTAAGTTGGGCATTGAAAGCCCAACTCAAAGTAGCTAACTCACTGCTCTTGAAGCTCAGAGTTTGTTTTGGTATTTTTGAGTTGGTGATCTGTCAAAATAGTTTAAAAAGCACATGTGTCCAGTTGGTCAGTGTTCTGCTTGGGTTGGCCAGTGCCTTTAGCAGTGTGCCGAGCAGCACCTGCTCAGCTAGGAAGAGAAATCCCGTTTGTTACGGGGTTGTTGGAGATGCAGTTGGGCGTGGATGTTTGAGGTAATGCTTGTTACTCTTGAGGAAGGCACTGCAGGATCTTTCATGATGCAGGAGGTGCCTAGTTTGTGCTGTGTTGAGATGCTGTTGGTAACTTCAGCTTTCCCTGTGTGCAAAGGAAAGTCTGCCTGGCAGGGTCCTGTCTCGGCGCTTGCAGGATTTGCATGTAGCCCTCGGGGTTTCCCAGAATGTTTGGTTTTTGAGAGAGAAAGGGGAACAATAATAAAGTAAGAAATTAGGGAAAAATGTCTTTCAATTTAAACTAAAATGAGAGGAGCAACTGTAGAGCTTGTGAAAAGCAGCTGGTTCTGGCTAAGACAGATATTGGACATCATAAACTTAATTGTGTGGAAAATCTACTTAGTGTTCTCTAGGGATCACAAGCACATGATTGTGCTTTTAAAGGGTCGGTGTATTTAAGCTTACAGGAACTGAAACTTCCAGTGAGTCTAGAAAAATAGATGGAAGCTTTAGATAACACAATGATAACAACATTATTGCTACACTGCTTGTCACTGTACCACCCCAAATAAAAACAAATGAGCTCTGTTCATTCTCCCTCTCTTTCTGAGCTCCAGTGTGGGAGTTGCCATTGGAATTGCACACCCAGCTGTGAGAGCACAATAAATTTGTCAGGATTAATAATTTAGTGTGAGTTTCTGGGGGGGAAAAAAAGAGGGTAGGAGGAAAGATGAACAGCTAAAAAGGTCTTTGAGCCCTGGACTATAGGGATTGGTAACAGCACGTTGGCTTATAGACATTTAAGTTAAATAATACGATGAAAGTGGCTGGGGGAGAGAGAAATCCCACAGCTGGGGAAGAATCTCTTTGGATGTGACTATGGATATAATATGTGGATGAAGGGGGGAGGGGAACCTTTGCAGAAATAGAGACAGAAAGCTCTGGAGGTGTCTACTGGAGGTTAGGAACTCTCCCTTCATCCCTTCTGCAGTTCTGGGAGCCTGCCTCTGGCGTGTGGTGTCAGGCTGGGCTCCAGCCACTTTCAGTTCCTGAACTCCTTTGTGTTCCCTTCAGTGGTGAGCTGTGTAGCAGTGGTGTTGCTGTCAGTGTGGTACAGGCAGTGCTTGTGTCTGTTGTGGTAAGTGCACGAGCAGTTTCAGTGGGGATTTAAAAGAAAGAAGAAATACAGTCAGTTCTGTGCTCCCAGCCGTGGTCGCCGTGCGAGCGGGGCTGCTGAGCCGGCTGCGTGCAGGCTGCCTGAGGAGCAGCAGCTGCAAACAGGGCTGTGCTTCACTTGCATAGTAAACAGGGCAGCAGAATGTTTGAATAGGCTCCGAACTGGCTTTTGGAAGTGTTCACACAAGAGGTCTTGGTGTTGATGTTTTGTATCTGGATCACTGAACCGTCTCCTTAGGAAACCTGCTGAGCGTTTGTTTGCACCTTGAGTGCTGCTTGTGCCGGCAGATGCATCAGACAGACTTTAATTGAGAGATTTGTGCCTTGCCCTCTCCACAGAAACTGTGCTACGATTCCACAGTCCCTGTTTCTCCTCCTTTCCTTCCTAGCCCTCCCTCATATTTTTTGGCTTGAAACCTTGTTGTCCTTGATGCTGTTCTTTCCCTGATGTTCCAAGAAGGGTGGAAGAGAAATTCCATGTTTCTCCTGAGTAGCAGAAAATGTGCCTTGGCTGTGAATGTAGATTTGTCCTTCTCGGGGTTTGTTTTGAATTTTTGCACAAAATCAGTCTTGAAAAATTCCCTTTTAGCTCCGTGCGTGTGCACAAGATGCACGGGATGAATATGGGATGTCTCTAACAGCAGGTGTTACTGGCTGTGGATGGTGTCGTGCTGATCTTGGAGCACTGAGAATTTTTCTCGTATTTGTATGAATATTTTTCTCATGTTGAGTGAATCCTATTGTCAGGTTCAAATGTCATGGATGTTTTTGGAGAGAAAAAGGTAGCATCTGCCTGCCTTTGAGTCTGTGGAAGCTTGCACTTCAAGCATGAAGTGAATGTGTGCTGAATAGAAGAGGAGCAAATGATAGCTGGCTAAAGCATGTGTGACATCCCTGGGAGCTCTGCTGGCACAGCCAGGCAGCAGCGTGGCTCTCGCGTGGTTGAATGAAGTTACAAGGTACTAATTGACAAGCGGATTAAGAGAGACTGTCCCAGCGAGTCCGGCCAGAAAGTAAAACCCTGGTGTTCCAAATAGGTGAAATAATAAGACTAATCTAAGGAAGGAATCCATATCCAGAGCATCTTAATGCAGCTTTAGTTCTTCCCTGCCCTAGTCAGGAGTTTCTTGAGCGCTTTTTTGCTTGTCTGACAGGTAGTGGAACGTATTCGGGTGAGACTTGGGTGAAATGTTTGGACTGAAGTTTCCTTGTCTCTCTCCCAGCCTGTGCCAACAGCGCTGGCTCAGGTTGACCGTGAAAAGATCTACCAGTGGATCAATGAGCTGTCCAGCCCTGAGACACGGGAGAACGCGCTGCTGGAGCTGAGCAAGAAGCGCGAGTCTGTGCCTGACCTTGCCCCGATGCTGTGGCACTCGTTTGGCACGATCGCAGCTCTCCTTCAGGTGGGTGGGACTTTATTCCATGGTGCAGCACCAGCACGTTGCAGGGCTTCTGCGTCCCTGGGGCAGATGTGGGCTGGTGCTGCTGGTGTCTCTTACTGCTGTTGCTGGGAGTATGACCTGTGCTGGATCATGTGCTGAGGGGAGCAGATGTGGGAAGCCCGTTTGCCATTAATTATCTCTAGCGAGGCGGAGTGTGCAGAGACTGCAAGATTTTTAATTAGACAGCTTACATAGCTGGAAGGTGAACAGGCAAGTTCTTGAGTGTGTGAGCTCCCTGTGGATCTTGTCCTGCATAGCAGAGCCACAACAGTCATACTCCTAAGATCTCTGATTTGTTTTGCATGAGCTTGAGCACTTCCTGGTCAGAAGGTTACCCTTGCAAGGAGCCCCCTGGAAGGGAAGCACGAAAATGCTGCTCAGTGCTCCAGAGATCCTCGCAAGGGAATGTACCTGCATTTCGTGTGAAACCAAGCTGGTCAGTTTATCTCTGGGAAAGCTACTCTACAGCTGATAACTGGCTATCTCTCAGTGCCAAATCTAGTAATTTCTTTTGAAGAAGGAAAGAAAAGAGTGCAGGATTGTCAGTGTCAAAACTGTTCTTGGAGTGGCCACGAAACAAGTGAAGAAAATGAGAAGGGAGCTGTAGTTGGAAGCAGGCGGATTTCTGAATGGGATTTCTTGCCTTCAGCTGTTTCCCCTGCGTTGAGTTAGGAGAGTACCAGCAGCCACAGTACGAATAGAGTGGGTGTGCTCTGCCTCTAGGCATGGGAACAACACTCCTCTTCAACCTGGAAGTTCAAAACAAAGCAATTTCTATGCTAGTAAAGAGCCAGGAAACCAAAGGAACCCCTTTTTACTGAAGTTAAGGTTTGAGTGCATTCCTGTGACTCCTTGTTAAATTAACTCTGGCCCAGCTCTGCTCTTGCCTGGGCAGCCTGGTGGCTGCCATGTAAATTCAGAGTGATGCCTGGTGAAAGCAGACTGCCATCTCCTGTCACCATAGTTCCTTGCTGGACAAGTGCTTTGCTGCAGCTTTCCTCATGTTTTTCTCTGTTTAACTTTTCTTCATCTGTTAATTTTTAGGAAATTGTAAATATTTATCCATCAATCAACCCTCCAACTTTGACAGCCCATCAGTCCAACAGAGTCTGCAATGCTTTAGCTCTACTACAGTGTGTTGCGTCACATCCTGAAACCAGGTAAGCGTTTCCAAGTGCATCAGTTTTCTGAGGAGTTGATGTTGACAGCTCACCTTGTCTGTTTGACTCCAGAAGCACATAAGCTCCTTTCTTCCTTTTTTTACCAAGAAAAGTGGAACAGAGGACAGAGCTGCAAGCTGCCTGCTGCTTTCACTTGTTTGCACACATCAGGGCGACTGCTTTATGGTGGTCCTACATGCATTGCATTCCCTGGATCATCCTGAGATCCTGCAAATTCCCAAAACACTTGGTTGTGGCAGCTTCTGGGAGCTCAGCCAGAGCTAAGGGTGCCTTTGTGCTCAGTGCTGTGTGCAGGATCCTTGTTTTAATGAGCTTACACTTATTTAGACTAGCAGCTTACAGTTACTTAGACCAGCTGTCCAAAGGGTGGAATGAGCAGGACTGCCCTTCCCAGAGACCGTGTGTGGCAAGGGAGCAATAGCAGAGCTGTGTCTGGAGTCCTCAGCCTCTGCCTGACTTCAGGTTTTCACAAACAATCTCTGTGCAGCCCATGTCAGCAGGGGAAAAGATGATGTTGTTCCAGCCAAAATCAATAGCTAAAATTCAGCAGAAAATTACCCCGAGGTCCATGATGTCGTGCTCCTGTTGCTGCTGAGAAGAAAGTAGCTGAAGTTGTTTTGCAGCTGCTGCAAAGTAGCGTTAAACAGGAACCCTCCACGAGATGATAACCAAAGGAAAAAAGGTAGTTTTACACCAGACACCTTTACATGTGAAGTTTGAAAACTGTAAATAGAGGGAGAATTTTGGATGATTGTGCAAGAGGTGCAAGAGAGCTTCCCTCTGCTAGCAGAGCAATCTCCAGGTTTCTCCCTGCAGTCTGCATTTTTCACCACTGTCAGAAGGCAGTGTGAGGACTCTTGGGGAATGGTGGCTGTGCACATTTGAACCATGGTGGCGCCTAGAAATCAGCCAGTCTGGATTTCTGTCATGCAGGGGCTTTGCATGTGCATTGTGGCTGACTGTCCCTGCCCATGGGTGCCTGCAAGGTGAAATGCAACAGTGGATGAACAAAGCAGAGGGTCTAGGTGGCAGGAAGAGGTAATAAAAACAACAGGACGTGCTCTGTTCCTGGTCAACTGGAAGCAGCGATGCGGGTCACTGACAATTTAGGTGTTAGGTTTTGTGCTGCACCCAGTGCAAAATTTACTTCATCCCTTTCCATCAGAGCACGAGCTGTTACCCTCTTTTAAGGAGCAGCAGCAATGGTGTCTGTCAGGAATAGTCTGAGGCTCTGCATGGTAGCGCTGGATTGTGTGCTTGCTTTGTTTTCCTTGTCTCTGATGTTGGGTGTTCTCCCTTTCCTACAGGTCAGCTTTTCTGGCAGCTCACATCCCTCTCTTCCTGTATCCCTTCTTGCACACAGTTAGCAAGACACGGCCATTTGAGTACCTGCGGCTGACGAGCCTCGGAGTGATCGGTAAGCAGCCAGGGTAGTGCTGGATGGACTCAGGCACTGGTTTCTTACTGAGTTGGTTACAGTTTATGCTGTGAGTATAGAGACCTGCACAACCAAAATCACAAGTCTCTTTTTATTGGGATCTTCTGAGTCCTGTAGTATTAGCAGGAGGAGCTGCTCCTTTTCCATCAGTTGTGGAGGCAGGTTCCCCTTAGTGTGTGAGAACTGGGCTTTTCACTTATAAGAAAACACTGAAGTCTGGGTGCGTTGCCAGAAGTAGTTTTCCCATGAGCACCTGCAGGCTTGTTGTGCCTTCATCCTCAGCCCAACCAGCTAGACACTGGGGTTGGTGAGTGCAGACTGAGCTTTCCTTGGGTTTTTGTCATTGCTTGACTTGGGTGTATTTGCCCTGTTTTCCCCTTATCCTGTTTTTTTATCTTCTTTCTGCCCAAAGCATTTCTCTCTCAATGCATAAAGTAAGTGGGTCTTAAAATGCATTTCTTCTTCCCAGAGGTTGCTATGGGTGGCATGATCCTCCTGTGTTTGTGTTACCACTGGGGGAGAGCCAGAATGCATCCCCTTTCTGAAAAACAAACAACCCCCAAACCCAGCTTGATTAGTTTTATGCTGCCAAAACAATTTCTTCTCCAGCCATGTGCTGCAGCGTATTTAGGACGACAATTGCTCTACCTGCCATTCAGAGTTAGTGATTCCTGGGGAGGATGCAGCCCAGGCCCTCTTTGAAAGGTGAGATTTTTTTGAGGCAATTTATCATTTACTGATTTTGGGTTTTGTTTTTCCTTCAAGGGGCCTTGGTGAAAACTGATGAGCAAGAAGTGATAAATTTCTTGTTGACAACAGAAATTATCCCCCTGTGCTTACGCATTATGGAGTCTGGCAGTGAACTCTCCAAAACGGTACCTACTCTTTGTGTCTTAATTAAGACTTCTTGTTGTTTATCTCTGACCAGACAGCCAGAAACCTGCAGAGTTGGCTTGTGTCCTGTTGTAAATGGTGGGGCAACTCTGTGTGGAGTTTATTCCTCCCCAGAAAAGAAACAAACCAAACCCACCAAACTAAGCTGGAGTTCCTGAGCTTGGTAGTTTTGCTGGGAAAGATCTTGCTGCTCTCAACATCCACTTCATCCTTTGCAGCCCTGCAGAGTAACTTTCAGGCCTGAGCTGGATCAACTTTCCTTGCCCTGAGAGAACAGATGCTGTAGCTACACAGGGCAGAGGTTGGGCAGCAGCTGTTAGTGGTGGTTATGGGAACGTTCCTTGCACAGGACTGGTTTGTTGTCCCCTTTGATCAGGGTCCCCTTTCCCTCACGAGCTCAGATCTGTGGTCAGACTGGTCTCATGGCCCAGGTAGGCTGGCCGCAGGTTTTAGTCTGTGCGTGCTTCTCTGGTGAAGGCTGCTGACATAGCTGGCTGAGGTTCTTCAAGAAGTCACGTGTCTCACGATGAATTGGTAACGCTCAAGATGAAAACCAAAATCAGCTTGCTGTCTAGATGGCAGAGCTGAGGGACAGATCCTTCTCCTGCCTCTTGCTCTGTGACCAGAGTAGTGGGGCCATAATCCTGAGGCTGTCCTGAGCAGCCCGGCAGTAGTTCCTGTCTTATGCAACCTGCCTCCAGTCATCTTGTACACACTGCTGTGTGTCCAGCTCTTTTCTTTAGCAGAGATGCCAAGCATTGTGTAGTGTCCTGCATTTTCTTTTGGCTTTAAATTTTCACCAAGTGAAGCATTTGCTGCCTGCTGAAAGGCCTTTCAGCTCTGGGACTGCCTTGAAAAGACCACAGCACAAAGGCTGTCCCTTTTCAGGACAGATAAGTTGTTTATATGCTTTCTTTTCTGCTTTCTCCCCACTCTAGGTTGCCACGTTTATTCTTCAGAAAATCCTCCTGGATGACACAGGGCTGGCATATATCTGTCAGACCTACGAGCGGTTTTCCCATGTTGCCATGATACTGGTAAGGTTATTTGTTTCCTCTCTTTAAAAAAAAAAACAAAAAAAAAACCCTGCTCTAGCAGCCAGCTTCTTCAGCAGCTACTTTTCTGTTCTCTGGCTGGAGCACAGGATGAGGGAGGCAAATCATTTTTGGGCTTATTGCTTGTGACACTGGAGCTCTCTGCTTCCGCGTGTTTCCTCTGCATATATCTGTGATTTGCATGTCAAGAGAACACATATTAGTTGTAATATGCTAAGTCCTCAAGAGTAACTGGGTAAACATCTCCAGAGGGGAAAAAAAAGTGTCAGGGTTGTTGGTTGGGTGTGAATTGATTTAATTTTATGTAAGGAGATGGCAGGGCTCAGACCACTGGTCAGTTTCCCATGTCTGTCTCCCACGACAAGGTGAAGAAGCAGCAGGCTGAGCGAAGGTAAGAGCAGGGCAAGCGTGTATGATACGTGCCCTTGTAACAGTCTCGCAGCTGCCAGCTACTTTCAGCTTTGGATTTCTGGGACCAGTTGTGTGTTTTCTATGCAGTAACCCCCAGTGTTTGTCCTACCACCTAGAACCCGTGGAAGCTTTTTGCATCCACAGTGTCCTTTACCAGCGTGTTCCATGGATTCCCTGTTTGCAGGCTGGAAGGCCAACCTCTTTTTTTTCTTTTTTCTCTTTGAGCCTGGCTCCTACGAGCTGCTGCTTGTGGCTTTAATTCTTGTGTTGGAACACAGAGAGAGCAGACAATTTTTGTCCGTTCCCTGTGAAGATGATGTTTGAGTACTCATAATTTGTTCATCCCAGGAGTAAGAGCCCCAACTTGAGCTTCATTATTTTGAGCTTGCTGAGGGGAATACACGTCTGCCCTGGAACAGCTATTGTCCTGCTTTTGTGTTCGGTTGGTTGGTTGCTTGCTTTTTAAAGAGCAGTCTCAGGAGAAGAAAATGAAGCATTTAGTTAAACACTTTGCAGTGCCGGTTCTCTGCCTAAATGTTGCTGCTTTCATTGGGAATATTTATTTGTCTGTTTTCCCAAAAGTAAAGAAAATGTTATCTCCTAATTCACCCACAAACAGCAAGATAGGAACGATTGTGAGCTGATGTCCATGGTATCCAGTGTGACGTGATTTTTGCACTCAGGAAAAGGATTGGCTTTGATGAAAGTACATCTGGCTTGGGGGCAAAGTGGAGGATGAATTATAAACCCTTGGGTAGAGAAGGGAAGGAGACTAAGGAAGAATCTGTAGCTGGGAAGGTTACGAACATGGAAGGATGTGGGCATGTAAAGCTGTGTTACATGTAAGAAGTCCTGTCCGTGGTATAATCCCACCACTGGGTGAAGCACTGACATGATTATTATTCCATAGCACTATGGAGAAAGATGAAAATGTTTGGAGACATTTCTGTTCTCTGTTTCAAAAATTGGGACAGTGTGCTCCTGTCTAAGGGTGATGATTTACTTCCTTGTCTGCTGATAACTGAGTGAGCTGTTACACAAGTATTAGATGCTTTTAAAAAAGCGAGGTAGTATTTCCCATCCAGGAGCTGTCTGAGGAGCTCTCTGACTTGTTGTTTATTTCTAAGAAATACTGGTGTCCCGGGGAATTACTGAAAACAGGAAGCTTGCAAAAGGGCAGATGAAGGGAACCTGCTAATTGCTAAATGCCTGAATATCCAAATCCAGGTGAATTTGGCTAATGGGGAAAATGGTTAGTGCCAACCAGTGTAATTTTACAGGGAAAAAAAGACAGAACTTGTTGGGCAGATTTGATTGACTCCTAACTATGAGGAAGCAGACAGTTAAATTCCTTCAAAGCAGGTGTGTGGAGGCATCCACACTGTTCACTGGGCTGGGTGCATTCACAGGTGCAGCCGTGTGCAAAGTCCTGCAGGGTGTGAGAAATGGAGGCTGGGCCAGGGAGATCTGTCCTGGTCTTGCTTCCCAGAAATGGCTTGACGAGGGACGTAGCAGAGGGAGAAAATACAACTCCTGTGTGTGTGATAAGACCAGATGTGGATCTCAGTACATGTGGTACTTCAGCAGAGCTTCCCAGGCTATTGTTAATGGTTTAAAAGGCCGTTGAAATGAAGGCAGCATGGAGGAGAACAAGGGAGTGTTACGGAGCTTGGGAACACACCTCACCTCAGGGTGACTCAGCCTGAGCTTATCAAAGGGACACACTGGGGTACATTCATCTCCCTCCAGGAGGTGAAACCCCAGGTTCTCTTTTATCTAGCAGAGAGGTGGACAGCTAAGCAGTCCTGGGGAGGTGAAAAACAAACAGAGATGAGGCAAGCTTTCCCCAGGCTGCTAGGAGAATCCTCTCCAAGTTGTGGCCAGCTGCTCTTCACAAAATCACCTTGGCAAGCAGAGTGGCAGGCTGTGTGCAGGGGTATCTAGGTGGGCTGTGATGCCTGGGAAGCCAAAGTGAGTGATTTAATGGTCTTTCCCAGTCTCTGCTGATTGTGAAGCTGTTCTTACAAAGAATTTAACTGGTGGCACTGGCCTCTGTCAAACAGGGTAAAATGGTCCTGCAGCTCTCCAAGGAGCCGTCGGCACGGCTGCTGAAACACGTTGTCCGCTGCTACCTTCGCCTTTCCGATAACCCCAGGTAAACATTTTAGGAGTTTGGGCAGGGGCTTTTCCTGCTCCCTTGGAAGTGCAGCTCTTCTCCAGAGCACCCACTCGAGGAGAGTCCGGGTTCCTTGTCTGTCCTTACGTCAGCCTTAGCTCGGTGTGGAAAATGGGTGGGTTTTTTGGTTGGTGTGTTTGGTTTTTTCACTGCTAGTCCCAGGAGCCTTTATGTTACGTGGGAGAAACAGGGACTGTTTGGGGCTTGTGCAGATTCAAGCTGTGCAGGTTACAACTGCCTGAGCTCAAATGTAGCTTAAACGAGGTACGAGGGAGGGACTGAGGTGGAAAGTACGCCATGCTCTTTCTTCTGCATCACGTGGGCTGTACACCACAGAAGCCAATAGATGAAATTCAGTTGAGGGAATACAAACTGATTTCATGCTGATCAGCAGCTCTGCCCAAAGCCGCTGGGTATGTACTTGTTGTCTCAGTTTCTCCTGGCGCCGCATTGCTCTTGACTGATGGGTGTCAGGGCACAGGGCTTGGTTTGGTGGGGTCTAGTGTGAGGGATGGGAGCTGTGCTGGCTGGCCCAGCGCCAGGTGCTGCTGCTTGGTGTTTTCCTTGGCTGACCAAGAGGGACCCCCAGGCAAAGGAGCATCCTGTCCCCAGTGGGGTTTGCTCCCCTCTTGCCCCTGTGAGTTTATTTGTTGGGCCCCGTTTCTTTTCTCTTGATGTAGGGCACGTGAAGCTCTCAGGCAGTGCCTTCCTGACCAACTGAAGGACACCACCTTTGCCCAGGTCCTGAAGGATGACACCACCACAAAGCGCTGGCTGGCTCAGCTCACCTGAAGGAGGGTCAGGTCACTGACCCACGGGGCATCCCTCTTCCTCCGCAATGACTGCTGGGGGAGGTGGAGGACCCAAGAAGAAACAGCTCAGGTTTACAAAGAACCAGGAACAGGTGACCTCTTCTGCAACAAACTGGGCACGCCAGCTGGCTGCTGGCCCGTTGGACCATCCCACCCAGCCAAAGGGCTGCTCTGTAGCAATGCAGCATGCCTCCAGGGATCGCAACACCAGCAAATGCTGATACGACAGCTTCAAAAAAATCAATAAAAACAATCTGTAAAGATCCCTGTCTCTCCAGGAGGCTCGGCTGGCATCTCACCCCCCACCACCAGGCAGGCAACAGGAGGGATGGACGCTCTTT